ACAGAGAAGTGAATTTGGGTCGACTGGGGGAGAAGGGATGGGTTCGGTTTGTTTTTTTTTTCCCCTAAAATCTATTTTATTTTCAAATTTTATGTTTGTATTTTAATTTTTTTAAGTGATTAAAAAACCTAGGTGCACAAAATTACTAAAACATCCCTGCCACATCATCAAATTTAACGAACTTTTGGATGGAGTTAACGGTATGGGCAATGTGGAATATCAAACCTTGGTCAAGGAGGCAAAGTAAGAATTGACCAATATTTCAGGGTGCACTGTAGCAATTAAGCCAAAATTAAAATACAAACATAAAATTTTAAAATAAATAGATTTTAAGGAAAAAAAAACAAAAAAACAAAAAAAACCATACCCATCCCTTCTCCCCAAGTCGCACCAAATTCATCTCTTCCTTCTCTATCTTTGTAACCCCACCAACCAAAAACCCATCACTCCCCCCCCCAAACCTGCAACCCACCCCCTCCCTGTGCAAACTTAGAGTCAAACAATATGGGTAGAATATTTTCAGATATATTTCATTCTCCGAAGGGAGGTATTTATAATACAGGTTACAAACCCTAGTAGGGTTTAATTAGGAAATAAGTGGAATCCTAATTACATAATATCTATACAAAAGGAAAAATAAATAAAACTCAAATACAATATGATATATTCTACTCGCCAACACTCCCCCTCAAGTTGGAGCGAAGACGTCACGCATGCCCAACTTGTCAAGCGAGTTGAGAAAGATACTTGTAGAAACAGCTTTCGTAAGAACATCAGCTAACTGATACTCTGAACGGATGAAGGGGAAGGACACAATCTCCGCATCCAACTTTTCTTTAATGAAATTTCGATCAACCTCCACATGTTTTGTACGATCATGTTGTACATGATTATGAGCAATTGCAATCGCAGCCGTATTGTCACAATATAAATCCATGGGTTTATTAGGCCCAAAACCAAGGTCTTTCAACAATCTCCTCTAGTAGGGTTTAATTAGGAAATAAGTGGAATCCTAATTACATAATATCTATACAAAAGGAAAAATAAATAAAACTCAAATACAATATGATATATTCTACTCGCCAACACTCCCCCTCAAGTTGGAGCGAAGACGTCACGCATGCCCAACTTGTCAAGCGAGTTGAGAAAGATACTTGTAGAAACAGCTTTCGTAAGAACATCAGCTAACTGATACTCTGAACGGATGAAATACGAGTCACAGCCCCCATATGATCCACACTAGGAGAGTGCATAAACTGACTCACTATATTTACAGCATACGCAATGTCCAGACGGGTATGAGCTAAATAAATCAATTTCCCCACAAGTCGTTGATAACGTTCTTTATCAGTCGGAACTTGATCGGGATATATCCCCAACTTATGATTCTGCTCACTAGGGGTATTAATTGGTTTCCAATCCAACATTCCAGTTTCTGCAAGTAAATCCAAAACATACTTTCTTTGGGATAGAAAAATACCATGTTTAGATCTGGCAACTTCAA